CCCCCATCGCCTGGCTCAAAGAGACATCCCCGAGGGTATGCCAAGGCGATCCGGTGTGGAGCTGCCACGCCACCGGCACGGTCCGCCCTTAAGGGAGTCAGCATCAAGTCAGAGGCCCAGAAAGAGAGTCACCGCAGAGCTTCAAGCGACGGAGGAGCCTAACTATCCACACACGTGAAACAGCCTTCCACAGATTACACTGCTGCTGCCCCTTTCCTGAGGTGCCACAGCGTCGCGCTGCCTCCGACTATCGCCGCGCGTCGTAGGCCTTGGTCGCTGGGAGTAGTAGTTGTAGTGGTTATGGTAGTAGCTGAGCCGCTAGGCAGGCACCAGCGAGGCGCTGATGCAAGTCCGCACTAAGGGGTCCTCTTATGGCTGAGAGGAGTTCTCCGCTTCTCGGAGATTCTTCAGCCACTCGAAGGTCATCTTTGCCATCTTCAGAAGTGGCGCTCGATACCGTCGATCGAGGACTAATTTGTAGTCGTACTTGGGCATCACCTGGAGCAGCCTGGATTCTCGTCTCGCGCCATCCAGCAGAGGACAGTCTCTGAGGATGTGCTTGACGTCTCCATCTGCATGCCCACATGGGCAGCTCGGGTCTGTCCTTAGCCCCATCGTGTGGCGGTGGTGGGGTGTGGGGGCGTGTCCTAAAATTAAGGCAGAGAGCTCGGGTGATGACTTACCAGCCTTCAAAAATCTTCTGGCGTGGGAAAATCCCCAAAGGAAGTCCCGTACGCTGGTGCCCAGAGTGGCTCGCTTGTCAAGCCACCAGGACCTTGTGTCCTTCTCCATCTGGGTCTTGAGCATGTGCTTCACATAGGAAGGAGGAACCATCATAGCAGCTCCCCGGTCCAGGGGGAAGAGCTGCTTCCGGCCGGTGTTGGCTAGCTGGTCCACTGCTTCGTTCCATTGTACTCCTTCATGGCCCGGGCACCAGTTCAGCTGCACCTTGACGTGTAGGCTGAGATGGGCGATGTCACGAGCGATGGCCGATCTCTCGGTGGCTTCTCGGCCTCGGATCGTGCAGATGGAGGCCTGAGAGTCTGTGAAGAGAAGCCATTCTATACCTCTGTGAGCCGAGTGGCTCAGCCATCGCAGGGCTCTGCGGATGGCTTCCAATTCGCATTGGTGGATGGTGGCGAACCGCTCAA